TGATGGGATGCACACGAGAAGCTGAATAACACACGTTATCCGTCAAGTGCCGTCGATCTTGAATCGCTGTCGAACACAAGATGCACAAAGCAGCTCTCGTCCTGCCTTATTCTCAGCTGACATCACAAGGTGTATGAATGCCGGCTCGCATCACGTCAGTAATGGCGTACGCTGTAAAGATGCCTCAACGTGAAGTGACCACTTTCCTCCAATAATTCCAGCGGTGTTGACATGCCACAGCAGGAACGACATGTTAGAGAAAAGCGCTGGCAGCATGTACAGAAGAGACACAGATATAAACGGCGCCTCAAGAGAGCTGCGATATAACACAACAAAAAAAATGGAACCAGAGCAGATAATATATTGCTTTCCCAGTGTTTTAATTAGTTATTAGGCACATTTCCTATGTATTATTTTGTTTGTGTTATCTTCTAATGACACAGAAGAGAGATTTTTTATTTTTTTTTGCTGCTTACAATCGTCTTTTTTTCTCACCAGAATAAAATTATCTGTTTTGGAGAATGCATAATTCTAACCTGTTTCTCCTAAAGAAATAAGGAGCGAAAGAGTAAATTAATAGCAGCAGAAGCACAAGAAAGACAGGTGTGATTTTGCTGTGCTCAAACCCAGAACCTTCAAATCAAATCAAATCAGGTTTATGGTCATGTTGCTGTACATACACAGTAGTACAGACGAGATGAGAGAGCGTTTCTTCAGGATTATTCAATCAACAAGTTTTGCAGAATGAACGTCTGGGATAAGACACTAAACATTCACTCCTGCTGTCTCCTGAAGGGGCTGCAGCGTCCATGCATGCCGCCATTCAACCTTGCGGCGGCGCTAACCACTGCATGAGAATGCTGCCCCGTAAAGCCATCATAATGCTTAATGTTGTTATTATAAATGTAAAGGAAATATGCATAGAACTTGCAAACAGATGTGCACTGAAAAGAAGAATATAAAGTATGTCCTGGGATATGGCTGAGCACTAAGAAAACTGTTGGATGGGATGTCCAACCTAACGAAGGCCCGGCTGCATGAAGGAACCTCCAGCATGCTCCCTCCCTGGGTCACTAAAAGCCTATCAGGTGCTTCCATAATGCAGCCCCCTCGCCCTCCATCTCTCTCCCTTTGGCTTAGGAGGCGCTCCAGTCCACGGCCACCTCGGCACGCAGACCTCCTGCAACGGAGGCTGTGGCCAGCGGTTGGTCCTGCCAGACAGGTTTTGCGGTCTAACAACCCCGTGTCTGGCACCACCTTCCACACAGGTGACGCGCTCCCAGCGGCCTGCTTTCATTGAGTTTAGTTTTGTTTACATAGGGCCAGTTCACAACATTGATTAGAAGAAGCAGAACATCAGATCCAATGATTTTTTTGAACAAGCACTTTGGTTTGGAGGCCGTTGTGGGGTCCCCACAAAGTAACACCTGGTCCAGGAGAGCCACTTAGAGCTCAGCGTGGTGCAGCAGCTTCACCCTGGTGACCCTCAGTGAGCCTCCAGGCTTTACCTGCTTTCTGTATTTAATGTGTGTCAAGGTGAGATCATGAGTTGATCATTATTTATTTGTGTGTTGGCATTGTTGTATCACCATTAAAATGATAACGTCTGGACGTGGCTAAATAGGCTAACCAGCATGCTACATAACATATTAACAACAGCACAGCGCCCACTGTCACAGGCATCAGCTAAAATAGATGTCACAGTCAGTGGTCAAACTCTGAAAAAAGTTTGGCCACTGCCCACCCAAATGACTTCAAACTCAACACTGCACTTCCTTGAATTCCCAGCAATGCACTTGTTAAGTTTAAACAAGATTAGATGTAATGTTTTTAAGACGTGCAGAGAGCAGACGAACACACACATAGAGAGATTCCTTCATTTATTAACATAGCTTATCTACATATAAACTTCAGTTTTTTACCGATTTGTCATTAATGTTAATGACAAATCGGTAAAAAACTGAAGTTTATATGTAGATCTTAGAAGCTCATTTATGCTGAGTTGAGGCTTTAATTTGATTATTGAGACAAATGTATGAGATTGTGAAGACTCATTTATAAGGCAAACAAGTTTTTATTTAAATCTTAAAGTCACTTTAAGAGCTGATTAGTTAAAGATTTGACCAAAACAAACCAGCGCCTTCCCCATCCCCTCACTTTCATTTATGAGCAAAACGGTTCTGTCCATAAGAGTCAACAAAAAAATATTCCAGCAGCATCTATTAGCACACAGCAGCTCTGTAAAATACACAGAGTGGGCTTTATCTACGTTTCAACATTATCTCCACTTTACTGTTTCCTCCTTCTCTTTGCTCGTTTCTGCTCCACTTTGTGTGTTTCCACAGTCGTGTTTGGAGCACAAACAGAAAAGTGTTTTTTAAAACGTACAGTCCACCAATTTGAAAAAAGTGGATTTTGTTGTTCTGTGTTACACTCATGGGGGAATCCGTCAGTGACCTGTGTCGGCTGAACCTGACAGGTGCTGCAAATGTTTTATACCTGAGTCTGACCTGAGACTCAGAGTTATGTTTTGGTTTTATTTCTTCCATTGCTGATGATTAGATTGCCAGGCTAATACTGTGGCTAGTGTCTCTTTTCCTCTCCTCCCACTGATGTGAACACAGGGAGGAACATGAACACAGAACACTGGCACAGTTTGGAAGAGAGAGAGAGAAAATTCATAATAAATTACATTTGAAAATAACGAAACCCAAACCAATCGGGATGTTTTACAAAACCCAGCCTAAAGCACTTGTCAGACATGGGATACGCTGCTGTTTCATCAGTCTGGAAAAGTGATGACATTCAAACATAAGTCAGTTTTACATTAATCTTTCAGATGTACACACCAAGAGCCCCGGTGACATACGTGTGTGATCGGACAGTCGTCTGCATGAAGGTTCAAGAAGCTACGACTTAACGGAAAACTAAACATAAACTAGCATCAAGCTTATCAGCACAGAGAACAGGATCGGTCAGGATCCAGTGTATTTTTCTTCACCTCAGACAGATGAGCCGTCACACACAGAGTTACTGTTAAATCATTTGTTAGGTCCATCTACAGGTTGAGTCCTGATCTTCATCACTTCTGTTGGAATATTTTTATTTTACTATTATGGTCTGATAGGTTTTCTAAAAAGTCAAAATAGTTTTCGGTCATGTGAAGTGTTTTTTTTTAATTGCATACATTTATGGATTTCGCTGTCTTACAGCATAAAATGTGCTGCAGTAGTGTCATTATTATTATTATTGTGATGTGTTTCCATCACTATATGTACAATGTGACTTCTGTAATCTTCTAACTACCAAAACAACTTGTTGAATCTTGACTTTATGCAATAAAAAACTTAAGATACGTGTTGAAAGTACATAAATAGTTCATACATGAGTGATACCAGTTCCAAAGATTTCCATCCATTCTACAGA